GGTTATGAAAAAGCATAAACATATTTTTTCCTTTCTACTTTTAGGATGTCAGTGCCAATATTGACTAGATAAGTTTAAATTTGGTTGCTTCAGTCAGGATTTGGACACCTGTTCAAACAAAACCATCAAAAAGGCACACTCAACAAATAGCTTCATTCAGGTCATCTTTAATGACAAAATGTTTATCAATTTCTTCAATGTAGCGGGAAAAAAATAAAGCAAATGAATCTTTACAATAACTACTGTTAGATCACTGTAGAGGGAAATCTCTTTGTACACCTTCCATTTCCTATTCACATCAGGCCCTGCCATCAACAATAGGGAATTTATTTTCACATCTTTTAAACACAATCTGTGTCAACATTGACTCCTGCTGTGCATTCACAATCTTTGTCCAACACTGGAGAGAAATAAAAAGGTCAAAACAAACCAAACAGGAAAGAACAATCAACAATCCACAACACCTTGTTCAAATGCTGCATGTACAAACTCAGGCAGACACATGGATGTTGCATAAAATAAAACTGAAGTATCTCTGTGGCTGAAATGAAGACAAGACTGATGACCCTAATGCGGTCACTGCTGGTACTTAATGAGTCCATATAAGTTAGAAAAAAATAAGACCTCACATTGAATTAACCTTCAAAGTTAAGTAGTGCTTGCAAATTATTTTATGGAGAGGTACATTTACTGTGAAGCCTCAGGCAGCTGTCAACAACAGGAGAGGAACAGGAAATGTAGGGTCAATGAGCAACCTGCAGATTAAGTACTTAAAAACTAGAAATTCTCTCATGGCTGTGACATCCTTTGTTGATTTTAGCACAAAGAAGTTTCATCCTGTGTTTGCTTTATCAAGACTTATTTTCATGTTCATGAAATGTGACAAATTCAGTAATTACAAATATTATTCAACACATTTTGAAAAGGCAACATTGTCAGTCACGGAGCAAGTGTTCCCATTTTCAGTGTCAAAAACAAGACGTTGCAGGTTCCATTTAGAGGCAACGTGAGGTTCACCTTTACCACTAGAACACAGTGTTGCTCTATATCTCAAATAACATGCACCTGTTAACCAAGTATTCTGCAAACAATCCATTTAGAGGAAGAAAATAATCAGCAAATCAGCAAGATGTAAAATTACTCCTGAATGACTGAAGCTCTTTCTCTAAGAGTTCCTTAGTGAAGATCTGCTGTTCGATGAGAGCTGACCTTTTCGATCCATAAAGCTACTTAAACCAGTTCTGGTTATGAAGAGTTGACTCAAAGAACAGATCACAGCCTCAGAGATACCACAGTATAGTCAATGTCTGATATCAAGGCTTTCAATGACGCCATATGTTTACATGACCTTACTGAACATGCTAACCAACTGCCTGTGTTTAAACCCATCCTCCCTTCAGCTTATTAGAACTTGATGCACATCTGTCACTCAAAGAGAGAACTGCAAAAATGATCACCAGGTACCTTCAGTCTGTCCAAACTCAGAGCTACCCTGGACTCTGTTCCCTTCACCTGCAACTTCTTCTTGTTTTCTTAGGCTACTATTGGACATTTTTTCCACTAGATAATAAATCATTCCTCTAAAATAAAAAACTCCCGATCCTTGTATAAAGGTCAATTCAAACGACTACATTTTTAATTAAATGACTATCAATCATATTTTCAATTTTTTTGGTACCGGATCTTTTCTGATCACTTAAATTCCACTCTAATATCAAACAATGAGCACAGGACCATGTAATATCTGGCCCAATCTAAAGTAAGATAGGATGCAGACAAACCAAGTGACTCACTGGAAGGACAACATGGACACAAACAGTTTGGACAGATGACTAAAATCTTCCTGGACCACACAGCACTCTCTCCCAAAACCCAGCCACAGAAATACCGTTGGTATAGGCACAGAGAGGGAGACCCAGTCTGCCTGCAGCACACTACATCCTGGTTTCCAATTACTGTCACTTTGCAAAATATTAGTTCAGTGGCAGAATATCATTTCAATTTCTAGTTTTCATCTTTTAAATCTTTCTTCAGGCAGACAGAGCCAGACTTCCTCAGTGCATTCAAGAGTGCTTGTGATTTGAAATGGCCACTTCATTCATTAATACAATGCCTTGATAAACAGCTAGTTGTAAAATAAATAAATAAAAGACAATATTACCTTAAAAAAAAAAAAGATAATCAAAATGGCTACTTTCAAAAGGCATGATCATATTTGCAGTTCGCATAGCTGGTTGAATTTGGTTGGAGCCGTGAGAATGTTGGGCTACACATGTAGGTGGCACAATCTGTGGTCAGTTCTCCCTTGTTTCAGATGATCAAAGCACACTAGAAGAGCGTGCATGGTAGAAGAGTTTGGTTTAATGCTGCGACCCTCCCTGAAAACCTACCCACTATAAACACTTGAACCCAGTTACTGGGGAAAGGGTAATATGACCTTATTCATTCTTTGAAAAGCTTGTACAAATGAGTGAAGGAGATAAGGGGGCGAGGGGAGAAACCTACAGACGGTCAAAGAACAGCCAATCAAGAACAAAGGGTGGGAGAAGGAGGGGAGAGGGGTGCATTTCTCCTGAGAACATATCAAATCTCAGGGACAAGGAGGGGAAGCGGGGGCAGGCAATCTTCTCACGACAGCAACATTTTCTCTGGCAACTGATGGCCGCTTCTCAGGCACTTTTCTTCTGTTTCAGGTTCAGAAAGAGCTGGCTGGTGGCGTGGTCAACCTCTTTCCAATGTAGACTCTGAGGGGAAGGTAGGCCAGGTTACAAATCACCATCTTTCTCACTGCAGCACGTGAATGTGACTGGTAAACTCTGCCGCTACTGTGCCAACCGTGGTGGTTTATCCTCAAGGCATTTTTTTGTGAGCAGCATGCAACATGTCCCCATCTGAGGTTGTATGTAATACAGAATTAAATCTAATTCATCTGGATACAAAGAGGAAAAACCTGAGTGCTCTGATATTAGCAAGGCTAACGAGCCCCAGATTTGAAAGAGTCATCCAGAAAGCAAAACGGGACAGGAAGAAAATTAAAAACAATCGACATATAGAGAAAACATATCAGTCAAATCCCAAATATGAATAGGGCTTGTCTCTTGCTCTCAAGTACATTGTTAATATGACTGTGTCTTGTGTATGGAAAAACTTTGACATACATTTTTCATTTGAATTCCTGAAATTACAGTCAGCCATTTGTGAAAAAACTTAGCTTGGTTCTTTTGTCACTACTTTCCTGTATTGCTGATAAAAATGCCTTTGTCCTAATCTTGTCTATAGCTCATTTATTTGCTAGTTAGCATTTGTTTTATGTACTATATTCTGAGACACTCTTCTAAAAGTATTGTTAAAGAAAACGTTGCTTTCCTTATAAAATGCAATCAATTCATACTGCACATAGTGTTTTATACAGAACATGATTTTCAAAGTTTAGGCTAATAGATAATACTAGTTGTTCAATAATACTGATTTCAAAGAGTGGTTTTCAATGTACATGTTCTTTCAATGTTCGTTCTCTCTTTGAATTTCTAAAACAAGACAAAAACAGGGTCCAGTTTTTTTCTCTTTGACATACTGATAATTTTATGTATAATAAATATATAACAACAGTAGCATGAGGGGACTTGCAGTCACAAGAGTAATAGCACTGTTTGCATTTTCCTGTTTTTTTGCATCAATTGGTCATGGAATGGGATCTGATCTTCAAAGGGTTACAGAGTCATTGCAAAGACTTTAGATATTCATCAGTCCACAGATAGACATACCATCTATAAAGAGATGATTTTGTATTGTGGCTGCTCTCCATAGAAGTGGATGCCCAGCCAAGACCACTCCAAAGACAATGCAGAACGTTCAAAGAATACTCGAGTAACTGCTAAAGACTTGAAGGGTTCATTAACATCTTTGTTTGTGAGTCAACAATATACAATATATTGAACAGGCATGGTATCTCCATGGCAAGACATCACAGAGGAAACCATTGCTCTCCAAAAAAAATGAAACAGAGGTAGAACTGTTTGAGAAGAACACACAGCACTACATGTGGCATAAAAAGAGAATCACACAACAACATGGAAACATGGAATGACCTCAGGAGAGATGTTCACACCAGATGTCCTAAGAATATGGCTGAGCTGAAGCAGTTCTGTGAGGAAGAGTGGTCCAAAATTCCTCCTGAACATTGTGCAGGTTTAATCCACAGCTACAAGAAGCGCTTGAGGTTATTGCTGCCAAAGGTGGTTCAACCAGTTACGGAAACTGTGTTTTAATCATTTTCACCACCATCATTTTAGCTGTGTTCAATAAAGACGTGAACAATCATGACTATTTGTGTTTTATCAGCTTAGAAATACTGTGTTTGTTGATATTGGTGACTGTGGTGAGGATCAGATCACATTTCATGGCCAATTTATGTAGAAAACAAGGAAATTGCAAACAGTGTCATTACTTTTTATGTGACTATAGCAATAGAACAGCAGTTTCCAAAAATGCTAATTTTGTAATTAGATCAACCCTGTGTCAATAATGTCAACAGTTAAAGCTGATATTGGATAATTATGAATATAGCGTCATTACGCTGACATCAGCCAAAACTAATGGAAATACATCAGTATCTTTAGTTTAGTTTAGTTTAGTTTAGTTTAGTAAACATAAAGAACAAATAACTAAGTCATCGCCAAAGCCCAGAACTACAGGCCAACAGGTAACTCTGAAAACTGGAGAAAAATGTTATACTGTATATGAAAAGTTAAAATAAACAGAAATATCAATGATAAAACTTGTAACCATATTCATTATAAATTACTTCATTTAAAAAATCTGTTCACCACAGAAACATACGTACGTTAATCGAAGAAACCCCACAATGGCCAAGGAGGATGATGGGATTACAACAGGTTTGATAATGGCACTCTATGCACCATGTCCAAGAAAAGACTACTGTCTGGGGTATCACTGCAGTGACAATATCTGACTGAGGAGTCAGGACTACTGAAACAAGTGTTATCACAAACAGAGAGGGCTCCTGGGAGAAAGCAGACATGCAGCCTTTCAGACAGGGGCATAACTGACTGTCTGTACAGCCCCCTCTGCTGGGCTTTATCAACAACTGAGGAACATTTTAAAAGTGCTAGATACTGTATGTTCAATACAATTTGAAATATAGAAATGTGAAGAATTTCTAACAAGAGTGCCTTCACACTAATATCAATAGTCAAACTTTTTAACACTATTATAAACCTGGGTTACATGCCCTTAAGTAAGTGACAAAACATTCTCAGGTTTTGGCTTCAGTGGACAATGTTCTGCAATAATGGAAATGCTGGTTTTGCTATAGACTGCAAAAGCATTCATATTAGTGTGACCCTTTAGAAAAGTCTGTGCTGATCATTCATTGGAAATCAGTTCATTAAACTACTTTCAGTTTTGCTGTATACTCAGTAACACTGTGACTGAACAGGTGACCTGGGGTGTTTGTTACTTACCCCAGCCCCAGAGCGAGGATATGTGACAGTAGCAGCGAGGGGATGAAGACTTTCAGGAACTCAGCAGAGAAGATGCCTCCTTTCTTCATGGCCCCAGTCTTCCTCATGCTGAGGGTTACAGAGCGTCGGGGGTGACGGAAGTGAAACTCCCTGGGAGAAAATAAATTATAAAATAAATAAATAAATAAATAAAAATAATTGAAACCCTGACCCTCAATGAAGCATCTTACCAATAGGTAATTTATGAAACAAAACTGGTTGAAGCATCTCATATGAGTTTTGTCATCTCTTTTTGTGCGAGGTATTCCTATTATTGTGTAACATTCTCCAGATCCTTGTGAAATAACAAAGCCATAATTTGGTTTAAAAAAAAAAACTTCAAAAGTTAGCAACAGGGCTTCACAGATCACTTCTGCCAGCTGCTATCTGTGCATTAGGCCAAGTTTGTTGCCATAATGACTAACCACTTTGACAGGACAAACAAGTAGCTGTGAGGGTTCAGTTGCCATGGGAACACTGCAGTGATGTTCAGAGAGATGAGACCTACTTGGGGGGAATGTTTTCCGGTCGACTAGACCAGTCAGCAACCCAATCTGAGTCCTTCATCAGGATGTCCATATCCCTCTCCTTGTCCAAGACATCCTCTTCTGACTAAAGAAACACACAGAGCAACCTTGCTCTTCAGGCTTTTCGACTACAGTGACCAATCCTTAAGAACACTTTGTACATGGATACGCATGCGGAGACTCATTCTCAAGTCAGTTGTTGACTACAGAAAACTACATAAAGGCAAGCATGACTTGTTTCTATTGTGCCCTAACAAAAGTACTAGTGACATTTCATGATGTGCAAAAGAAAGACATCCACACTGGGTGTGGCAGCCATCTCTTTAGAAACTTAAGACAGGCAGTAGTTGTCATTCACAAACACCCACACACAAAACACTTCATGGCCAGTTGTTGAGACCACTGATGCAGTGGCAACAGACTGATGGAGAACTTGAGAGGCACACAAGCTCTTACTTGGCTGTCCCTCCTGGCAGTCGCGTCCACGTCAAAGATGATCTGTCCATCATCCTGGGGACTGTGAGGCCGAGGAGGGCTGAGGGTGAAGTCAAAAATTAGAGGCCTCGGTAACAGCAAAGCCATGAAATCATGACTAGGTTAAAAGGCTTTATAACATGAAAGCATTTGGTTCCGATTAGTTGTGAGATGTCTGATTCATACACAGCTCAGGTCAAAAGTTCATCAACCAATGAAGTGTGTGATTACTTGAACACAAATCACTTTTTGGCCTTGTATGCACCTGTGTATCAAAAACCCAAAGTAGCCAAAGACTAGCAGCTCTATTATTAGCATTCTTGTCATACAAGCTTACAAATTTAGGAGTGCATGGCAAAGTCCTATTGCTCCTGTACTGTGTGTATAATGTGCACTTAACTGTGCGTCTTAGAGGGATAAGTAAAGAAAACACTTACCCAATGAACTCTGTGTAATATGAACCTAGTGCAAGGTTAGTGTTTGTGCTGATACAGTGCTCCTGACTGAAATGCTCCAACACATCCTCAGGTGACTCACTGACAGCTGACTGACCAGCTCTCTGATAAGGTCTGCTTTATCACATACAGCCTTGTGCATTATAAACATGTACATGTGATGTGGCTGGGAGATGAAGGGTCAGGACTATTTTAACTTTCTCAGTAAAATGGAAGAAGACACCATTTTATTTGCAAAAGCCAGATCAGCTCCTGAGTCAGAGTCAAAGCTGACAACATGTTGACAGTGCAGCTGTGACAGAGAAGCCACTCCTGATTTATCCACAGGAATATTAAGAAAATGGTGGACTTTGAAAAGCCAAGTTCAATATTAAATACCTCTCATGAAATCTTTATGCAACAGTTTCCCCAGTGGGCTTTTATAGTTTGAATAGAAGATGAACAGCCCGAGTGTCCAGGCTGAAAGGATTTCTCTCTTTACACCAGTTAAGCTGTTTTCTCTGCATTTTAACAACTAAAGATAATTTTCAGTTTTTACCAATTTTCACAAAGCAAACATAAAACAAAGTCTAGTAAAAGTTGATTTCATGACCACAGGCAGTTGGGAAACAACCTACACAGACTTACAACAGGTAATTATTATTATTACATTGTTAATAAGACACTGATCACATGAGCAACAATTTGATAATTCTCAATTGATTATGTGTACTCTGCATTGTTAATTTGGTACCTCTACTTGTTTTCTGCTACAGTACACCACTAATGGGGACAGACAGCAAGATGCTACAAACAGGTTTCTTCCTGGAGCTTTACATCAGATCCAAGATTATAAGGAAAACTTTGTTTCAACTTTTCAGTCTTGGTGACAATTCCTGAGCCCTCTTGTCTGTTTTGAACAACTGAATCAAACACATTACCTATTGCAGGAGGAGTTGCTGCGGCTCGACTCGTGCTGGGCGTCCAACAGGATTTTCTCCATATCTCCATTGTGGATTGAGGACGAGGATGGGACATGCTCTAACCCCCCCACCATGGCCTCCTCTTCCTCCTCCACCTGAGTGAGTGGCAGGAGGGCTGGGGCCAGGCCGCCTGTGGAGGATGACTGGGACAAGTCGGCTGCACCTCTGTTCATCTCCAGCTCCACCCAGGAACCTGTTGGGTGAAACAGAAATGCAGAACCCTGATTCAATCACCTCCATCACTGCAGTATAGCATTCAGTGTTTCTGGTTTTAGTTATTTTTTTTTTTAGCAGTAATAAAATACATGTTTAAAAAGGTGCAGGTTTAAACCATTTTTCCACCTCAAAGTTTTGTTGCCCTCTGCAAAACTAATCACTGCAAAATGTCCCCTTACTGAAATCCTCTGAGGAAGAAAAAAATGCTAAAACTACCAGAGTTTCCACTCAGAGAGACTACATCAAACCCTATTTCTATCTGAATTGCTTTTTTTCCCCCATTTTATTTGTTCTGATAACATATCTTAAATATTTGGCATGGGATGGCAACAACTAGCCTACTTTACAAGATAGTGCTTCATTTGCTTTTATGTAAACAGCTGGACTACATGTGCATGTTATAAGATGAAGATTAGGTATCATAAAACTCTATCCCAAGAGTTTATCACTTTTAGCATGTCTGGAAGTACCAGGATTGCCTGCCAAAATAGAGACTGTGTAAAGTCTGTAAAGTCATGTCAATAAACCAGTAAGCCAATATCCTGCTCAGAGCAACATCTCATATGTCGCTAGGAGCGGGCTTTTTGTCTTGCACTAAAATTACTCACATGCAAATGGGAAGCATCAGTTAACGGTGTTGTTAGACTACTAAATAAACTGAAGGAAAGTCAAACAACATCACTGTGGCAAAAGTTTGGCCAAGAGCTGTGACGTCTCATTCTTTTAATGAAGTCTCAGACCTTAATTAGTTTGTTAGGCCTGAGGCGTGTCAACAATCGTCTTTGGAAAATGTCAACTGGTGCCAATTTCACAGCTTTTCAAAAACCAAACAAACAAAAAACAAAACAAAAACTGACTCTTCAAACCTTGTGTGAACAATCAGTAGCTATGGGCTCCTCAAAGTAGATTTGTAAGAGCCTAAAACTGAAAGTTAATATCCATAATGCAGGTGAAGGCTCCAAGAAGACAGCTAAACATTCTCAGCTTGCAATTTCTACAGTGCAAAATGTAATTCTGAGGTGACAGCATAAGGAAACTGGAAGTCAGGAGGAAATCTGAAAGACCAAGAACAAAATCGGAGAGAACCGCTAGTATACTGACCAGAAACCCTATCAAAACCCAATTTGACTGCAATAAAATCTGCACAAGATTTAGCAGATTCAGAAGCACTGGTGCAATGTGGTTCCAATGTGTTTGCACAAACATGAAGAAAAGAAAAAGGTGATCAAAGCAGAGTAAATGTCCATGTAAGTGCCGTGGTTTCTTGTAGATGACTGTGATATGACGCTCTCCCTGTTTATATGCCAGCTCTGACACAGACTGGCAGCTGAGGAGAAACAGCATGCGGGAGTGGGGTTACAAATATAGAGGGGGAACAAGTTACCCAGGGCAAGAATTTGGAAAATGGCAAAAGGGTTCTTTAATATCCCATATCATACAGCTCAAAGCACCTTCTCATTCTGTCCTCACCACAATAAACAAGAAGAGGACCTCCCGAGCATGTCACATGGCCCCATAAAAGTAAGCACACATCATGTTCACATGCTGTACTACACAGGCATCATACTGTTATACCCACTATCCAAACTGTGAACTGCTCCCCCCTAAACAGGCCTCGTCCTGCGGATTACACGGCAGACTGCTAGCCAAGCTGCTGCCCACAGCCCATTGTCTCTGCTCTATGAACTAAACCCGTGTTGCTATGGTGCTGACGCTTCCGAACATTCTGGCCACAGAGGTGTTATCAGATGTTGGGTGGGTCTAGAGGTGCCAGATACTATGGGACCTCTTTAATGCTGAGGCTCAGGCAGGAGTGATGGGGGGCCGAGGATGTCTAGCATCTCAAGATCACAGGTATTACATAAAAATGTTTGGCACTGATGTGAGAGCTCCAGAAACACCAAAAATAGCAGACTCAGATAACAGGGCATGCTGTTGGCCTATTTAACTGATAACAGCGTGGTATCCCTGAACGTGCATCTCAGCGTGTGCTGTTTCAGTGTATATATGTCCAGTACACACAAATGCCACCAACAACAGCTAATGTAAATTCTATGCCTTATAAATTGTTATTCCGACTCAGTCAGATCTGACAACCACTAAGCTTTTCAGCCAAAAGCAAGAATAGGTTCACCAAAAATGGTGGAAGGATGGTGCTTTGGGGTGCCCTACAAAATAAAATCACTCTGTAATATTTACAGCCCTTTTCCAACCAGATTTGTTAATAAAATATTTAAATAAGCAGGTGAACTGTTCTAAGATGCTCATCAGGACTTGAACATAATGACAAAAGTGTCTGACAAAAGCAAGCAACATGTGATTTCTCATAGAACAAGGAGAAGATACAGCCTAACATATTGAATGTACAAAGGAAGTGTGTAACCAGGGTAAAAACATTACCAACCACAAGCTTCATGGTCAATTTTTAAAACTGGCTATCTGCTCCCATTTAAAAAAAAAAAGTTCTGTCTCTGAAATAAGAAAAATGACTGTAAAGTTTGGTTGCTGCCCAGACTAGACTCTGAATCGACCATCCACCATGTTCCTACACAGCTGTGTACTGTAACACTTCCCCCACCTTCCTCATGTCCAAAACGTCTATCCCCTTGTCACTGTAACCATAAATAGCATGCCAAGTCATGGCATCCCATAATGTGGCAAAAGTTAAACCACTGCAGCTCTCTGAACAGCCCCGTCAGACAGTAAAACTGTGCAATAAACAAGCCTTTGTTTACCTCTCAAATGGCTTATGCAAGCCAAGGTCTAGTATCCTTTGCCATTCGAATAAAATAATTCTTACGTGATATATTTATACAGTGAAAGCACTGTGTAAAAATGCTATTTGGATTACTAACCTATTCAGAAATTGATTCCAATTCTTACTGAAAGGGGTTTTCAAATCACAAATCCTGATATTCTTATACGTGCTGAAATCTGGAAATAATAAGTATATATTTATATCCTGTTGTTAATAAGGATTTCATTAGTTGTGAAGTCAGCAACTAAGGCTACGTGCAATTTGTCAGTCCCCATTTTCGCCAGAGTTCTTATCCCCATCTGGCCGTGTTGACAGCCCTAAGCCCACCTCCACCCATCCGCCCGAATCAGTTTGGCTTATTTGCTTGTCATTCAAGCTTGTTGAAAGCCCATTGGTGCAACCACTGTCAATAAACACACGGAACATAGCATTCTCACTCCTCCTCCTTCAATGTGGCTACACAGTGGAAAAAAGATTAATGGGCGAATTAAACAGCCTTTAACGATTAAAGACCCTCAACAAATATATTATGGGCTATACCAGCGCGACCACCGACATGCACCTCAGAGAAAACACAATGACAGTCTACTCCAGTGCAGCAATTTGGTAATATTTAGCTTACCGTTTAGCCCGGAGTCTCCGTTGTTGTCTGTGGAAGTAGTGTTAGCAGTGTCAGACATGGTCGTGCCTGGTGAGCAGGGCGGGTTGCATAAAAGGTTCAAGTCAGTGCAAAACGTGCACTACCTTATCTGCACACATTCAGACGTGCGATAGTACAGCTGACTCGTGTCGCCTTCTGCCCCGTCCGTCAGCAAGCGGTTAGCTGAGCCAAGGCACCGCTGCCGTTTGTTTTCGTCCCTTAGCTGGTCTGGAAGAGGCGACCGCGAGCCGCTCAGATCTTCCCGGAGCTAGGTGATGACGTCAGACCTCCCTGTTTGACAACAAAAGAGGGAGGATGAAGCCCAGTTACATAACGACCTGAAAAACACAGGCACAGGCTACAGCATGCATGAACTAATAGCATTAGTTATCGACTAGAAGCAGAAATTCGTAAGGCAGGTTGCTACTTCAGTTTACCGTAATCGAAGGAGACGTGCGTGCGCCCACGTACGCGGTACGCCTATGGTCAAATGAGGCAGATTTTAAGTAACCAGACACCGCATCAGCTGATTTTTATTAACCTTCAGTGGGTGAAGTACCACAGCTTGGTTTTCATCATGTCCATCGGTCAGATCAGGGACACATTCAGATTTACACCTGGAATGCCAGATGCATTCAATTTTTAATGGATGAAAACCAGCAGAGCTCTGAATAATTTCATTGCACGTCAGACTTAAACCACGTACTTCTCCTCCAGCTTAATGTGTCCAAATCAGTCAAATCACCTGCTCCTGTTTTTGTTATAGCTTAAACATGGGTCTACAGATTCGCCAAAATGTGATCTTGAAAATCAGATTATCATGGTTACCTAGAGGCCTCAGTATAAACATTTCTGTGATGAGATCTCAGCAATAACCAGGAAATCACAAGAATGCAAAAAGTAGTTCCTTTATTATCTTCACTGTCATAGATTACAGTTGTAGTTATAACTAGAGAGACATCAGTATAGTCTGAACTGTCTACATTTTAAATATGACGTGGAGACAACTGCTGCAAATACTTGTGCGGCTTTTTGTACCATCACATACAGTAGCAGTAATAATGTCTGCAGAAGTTTAAATGGTGACTTAATGCCTCAAATGGTTTTCAGACTGCAGTTTTACAACACAGACATCCAAGTACTTCAGTTGGTGCAATAAGAATCCAGTGTCAAATCAAAGGCTTCCCCAGTTGTAAAGTACTGCTTCAGAGCTGTGGTACACTATGGGAAGACAATACTTAGGATCACTCAAAAAGATATGTTTAAGCGTCATTCCACAAAACAGAACAGAACAAATCTGGTGACATTCTAACCTTTTTAATATAAATATGATAACCAAAATTATTATCCTTGAATAGGCTCTCTCTTAGACCAGACTGTTGTTGAAGAAAATAGGAAGCTGAGGAACCGATGCATAAAAATGTCAAGAATGTGAAACAACAAATTTAAAAAAAACAAAACAACCCAAAATGGAGTATGGACCTATTGGGCCAGTAGGAGCCTGAGGCACAGCGACGGTGAGCAGTACGACTCAGACTTTTCATCTGTGAATTCACACTTTTTAAACTCCTGCGAGCATACTTTTGTGACTCTTTAATGAGCAGAAACATGAAGAGACTCAAGTAATACTATGACAGTATACAGATGAATCCATAAAATGTGTACAGTATACACACACAAAAAAAAAAATCTTAGAAAAATAAACATTACAGTGGCACAGGACAATAAGGGGACATTCTAAATAATTGTTTATAATTTTCTACCACAAATCCATCGAGTGGGGGAGTTATAAAAATAAGTGTCTGTATTCAGAATTTGAAGTAAATTAAACGGTTACCTATGTTACCCCAGGGGAAGAAAAGGGTAAGTGGGCTGGCAAATAAACATAACAAACGGAAACAAAAAACTGGCACAGCATCACTTAAACAACAAGGCAGATATCACTCTGCCACAGACAGGCTGATGATGGGCAAGAGTGAGGCTTCCTCTGTCCACATTTAGAACAAAGTGGCAAAAGTCTGGTCACCAAGTAGCGACGGACAGGGATGCTGATTGGCTGTGTTACCACAGACCACCCTTGGTGAAGCTGCAAGGCTGCAGGTGGTACACATGACTTCACCTGCACCAGATGTCACGAAAGCTCACCTAGCGTTTAGTTCACTTTGTCCTGGAATATGTAGAGATTGTTGGTCGTCGCCACTGTGATGATGTTGTCCTGGGGATGCCAGGCAGTGTGAAGGATCTTCTTGTTGAAGTCCAAACTGTCCACGCTGATTTCATCCTTCTTGCGCTTGCCGCCTGCACACACCTTGCGAGGCTTTAGCACTTGCATGGGCTTACTGTTTTCTCGGGATGCTTCCAAGGTTACATCCCGCCTATGGCCACGGTCAAATATCCGGAAGAAGTTGTTATATGAGCCAGTCATCACCACACTGACAGGGAGATATGGGAGAGGTATGTGAGCCTTTACCACAAGTAATCGTGGATAAATAAAAGATCTTATTGTTCTCCGTGAACAATGTATGCAGCTGATATTAAAATGAACTTAAAAGTAACTTATTTCAGAATTATCACATTTTAAAAGATTGTGGACTATAAAGTTTGTCTTACAATTAGCACTTTGATGCATCACATTAAAGTTTTTGTATTTATGTTACATTATTATTAAGACTAGTATAGCTTTGGAGGTCAAATCATCTGTCACAGTATAAAAAATAAATAAATAAATAAAAAAGTATCAGCACATCAGTCTTGAAAATCGTGAAGTCACATTTCAAACAATGATAAGCAGCATCCTTTGTTTACCCCCTGCATGTCCTCACCTGTCATTGCCATTCCAGCAGCATTCAAACTTGTCAAAGATACAGTCGTTCTCGTAGAGCGAGCACAGCTTGCTCCTCAGGTACTCATGAACCTGTAATGATCAAAGGCAGATATGATGGGGCTACTAGTAAGACTGTGAAACATCTTTATTACTTAAACCTGCACATAAATTATCTACAAACTATTACTATTATATTCAGTTCATCACAATGACACAAACTTGGTTCCATACAACAGCCACCGCACAGCAACAATACACATATATAGTGCCTCGTAGTGGCTACTAGGTAAAATGACAAGAACAGTTTCAAAAAGGTGTGGTCACTGCAAAAAAAAAAAAATCTTTTATTAGTATTGTGTTTATATCAAAATAAACTGTAGAACACTATCACCATTATATACTTTAAGATGAAATGCACATTGCACGGTGCACTGGACAACACAGGCCTGAAACTAAATAACTAAATGGAAACTACCATTCAGGTGTTGGACTACCTGCTGCTCTAGCCTTTGTGAGGTCTGTGGCAATGAGGCCATCACATGGTGTTAATTCAGAGCTTACGATAACTTACTGAAAACTTGTTTATGCTTGTTTAACGTGCCGGACATCACACAATGCGCATCTGATTGTCAGCCTCACCTGATAGGTCTCCACTGGCCTGTTCTCCATGTTTAGGTCCCAAATCTTCATTGACAAGTAGTCTCTGGTCATCATGTAGCGTCCGTTGTGGCTAAACTTTACATCTGAGATGGAGGATATGATCTCAGAGAAGAAGGAGCGATTACTGGGATCTTCTGGCTCCTCAAACACTGGACAAGAGAAACAAATAATACAAGTATGAGTAAAAAGGTATAAAGTCTATCTGATGTATTCTTCACAGGTCTAGCAAGAGCTAAAGTATAGTTCAAGGGGCTTAGCACAATGCATCCAATACTTAATCCACCTGCAGTGGTAGAGATATGGTGATCAAAAGTCATCAAAGTGGATACCCACATTTGGAGTGCTTGTCACATAGTGCTGAAACCCTCATGTCACACAGACGGATGGTTCCTTTGCTGCTGCTGTAGACAAAGGTATTACACTGATGAGGGTGAAACTCTGCTGCTGTGATCACCTCTGTTAGCTCCTCCATGTTGGCTGGTTTAATGTCAACAATATCTGAAGAGCACATGGTTAAGAGGAATAAACCTTTTGAGATTAGGACAAAAGAGTGCTGTGGGGATGATGTATTTTTGTAGGCTGTAGTGGCAAGTGTCTGTTGGTGGCCCAAATTAAATCACAGTAATTCCAACCAGAAAGTTAGCATCACTCTGGTTCCCTCATGAAAAGGCCAGTCAGTTTTTTTCCATAGGCTTTCGGATTATTGCAGAAAATGAACTCTGTCACAACCAACGCTTTATGACATTTGCACGTTTGGTCAGCAAGATAATTGAAACAATTGAACACAATTTTTTATGATTTTTGCAGCATATATACAATTGCCAGAAGTAAAAAGCTATTGTTTTAGGCTATATACTAATTACACCACAGCCCCATGACTTCAGTGTCACCACCACAGCTTGTAATTTGATTTACCACACTTGCCTCTTCTACAAAATCCTTTCCTCTAGCGTATCCTGAGCTAGTGATCATGGCCGTGTCTGTTAGAATAGTCTGCAAGTTTAAACATAATGAGGCTGTGAATGCGGGGTGGTGAGTAAGACGAGTCTTCGTATTCGACCACACAGTCTCTGTAGTCTCCTTTAGCCACTTGTTAGCAACCACCTTTTTTTAACTCTCTACACACTGTGCTTATAATGCTAATGCTTAACCCTGTAAAGCCCAACATATCAAAACATAGCCAGAACATTCTAATTTTTTGGAACTGAGATGTTTATTAAACCTTTTAACAAAATCCAAAATAAAATTCATGATTCAAAATTCAAGATTTTTATTTGCCATATATGCAAAGACAGACAGTCCAGGCATATAGGAATAGAGGTGCCATATTATTTAGATTATTTCTATTTCTTTTGTATCACATTTAATACATGCGGCATTTTTGGTGATTTTTTTTTTTTTTTTGCTCAGAAACCTCATGTATCAAATGATACAAATGGTTTTATAGGGTTAATATGTGAAAAGCGGGCATTTATTAGGCAGACAAACATGCATGCATGGAAGGATACTGAAGCTGCGGTCGGTGATCTCGAGGTGCCAGAGGTTGATGCGGAGGTCGTCTGCAGACAGGTAAGTCTCATTGTCACTATTGACTGAGATAGAGTTGATATGGTAGGTGTGAGCATTGGCGAACACCCTCCGGGGACTGGCTTCCACCATGAGGTCCATGGGTATTAAAACTGGTACCTGATATAAGAATGAACAAAGCACATGAACTGAAAACGCATTTGTGTATCACAAAGTTTATAGATTTTAATTATCAGGGCATGCGTCACACAGTATTCTATGTGATTAATTCGCTGGATAAAATACTGTGGCAAGCACTAACACCCTCTCTATCAGTAGTCTGTCTCATGTGTGTCTGATGATGAGATTTGGCAAAGAAGGACCACGAAGAATCTCTCTTAAAAAAGTTGTGCCTTTATTTAAACCTCAATTACCTTTCTTTAGGTTATGTGGCAACAACAGTAAACCGTGAGCTTTTTTCTTTTTGGCTGAATGACTGAACTGTGTGTCCAGAAGGTGCACAGCTATTACAGGAGTCCAGAACTGAGCTTGAACAAGAACTGTATTAGCACAGATTGCAAGTTATGGTTATTTTTGCCAAACTTGTAACCCTTCCTGACTGCTAACACAACCGGTTTTGCATCCAAGATTGCCATGGGATGTGGAAACAATTATATCTAGCCCCCAAAATTTAAAGCCGTCCAACTTCTTTTCTGCCATTAGATGGTCTAGCAAGAGTCAAAACAAACTGACACCATAAGCCGCTCCTAACAACTCTTTGTCCCTCCTATCACATCCTGCTTCCTAGTGATGGCAAGGTTAAACAGGTAAAATACAGATGTCTGGCTGCAAATATAACGCAGCCTCTTTGGTCTGGCAGCCACCGTTTCAGACATTTGGCCATTGCCAAATGCCAAGAGCTCCTCCATGGGCGGTTGCATGAAGTGACTACTTGCGGCTCAAAAAAAATATTTCTTACAACCTTGAAGAGGTGGCAGGTGGGGCTAATTTACAGGCAATGCTTTGACAACAGGGTTGAGAAGCTTGAATAACAATAGGGGTGTCTGCAGCAGTGTCATTGTTTGGGGGGTACAGCCGAGAGCCACCTCATCCTGTCATCTTGCACCACTTGCACTTGATTTATCAGACAATGTGTAAATTATCAGTTAATGCATATTTAAGATAAAGAGCAGGTTCTATAAAATAGAGGCTTCACCTCTTGTATCTTCTATTGATTACACAAATATTACCTGTGAGGATTGACTTTGATCAACAGTAGCCAGAGGTAAAGCTCCACCACACCTACATTACACCCACACAGATGTTTCAGGTATTCTGCTTGATGAGGTATCTTTTCAGGATTTTGTGAACATGTACAGACAGAGATTTACTCGATAGTGTTGTCACACCAGTTAGGCCTGAAAAATGTAGACCTATCAGATTCTTTTTTTATACACTTCATTAGTCCTCTTGGGGAAATTCCTTACTGATGACAAAGCTGTCAGTCGCTGCCTGGCAACTAGAGGTTCACTGTCTTGCCCAAGGACACTGCAACATGCAGACTAGGGATTGAACAACAAACCTTCTGACTGGGAGACAACCGCTCTCTCCCCTGAGCCACAGCCGCCCCCTTTTAATATATACACGTATATAGTTTCAACTGGCATCCTAGCCACATGGCAGGAAATCTGAACTGCCTGCATCACCAAAGAAAGCAAAACCAGTGAGCTGGGCAGCACTGTGCTCCCCAAACTACCATCAGCTACAGTATTTGAATCCTCATATTGTTAGCTCTACTTTATAATGTTTGGAATTAACATTAATTTTTGAACAAACATGGGGGTGAGACAACTTAAGTAAAACAAGACTTTAATACTTCCAATACTCTTAATTTCTTAAAGCCACTTTACCTAATTTCTCTTTCTGCTACTGTGATACAAAGCACTGCATAGAAACCCAGCTGTGGATAAGTAAACCTTCCTCTGAGATACCTCTCAGGTTGTGTTTGATTTAAGTGCTTACCCGCAATGATGTGATAGTGTTGGGGTCTTTGTAGCGTCCATCCTCCTCTTTGAGATTATAGCCCTCTGGTCTCTTGTCTCGTTCACTGATTTTCCACAACTTAATTGTCTTATCTGTCAGAGATCAGAAAGAAAATACGTATACTTCAAGTAGCAGAACCAGCTTTTTTTTCTTTTTTCTGAAGGACAACCACGCACTTTTGCCATTCACTGACGGGGTCAACATGTACTAACTTTTTGAGCAGTGCCACACCTGTCGTCTACCAATTTCTGATGGTCCCAGAAAGGTGACGTGAGGCTGGAAACTGCATTTGAGGTAGACAACAGAACACACTGCTTATCACTATTATAATTAACACGAATATTCCTGGGAACTTTGCCATCTTGCAGTGAAAACTGCTGCAATGCATTTTCTGTGGACTCTCAAAGCTTGATTTTGACTAGTGTTTGCAAAGTGAGTGACATACTCAATAATCCCAGCTGGCACAATGTTAAAACAATTAAGCCATTATCGAGGATGATATACATCGCAGACTAATCTAGGTATGTATTCAATCACAATGACTTACCGTTCGTTGACAAGAGGAACTGAGCAGCATTCTTCTGAGGAAGCCAGCGAATCTTGTTGATCTTTTCTTCTATCTCCAAACTTTTCAAGTAGTCAAACTCAGGCTCATGGCTCTGGAAAGTGCTATAAACATTGTATTCGCTCCGGAACTGAGGGTGATTCTTATTCTGCAGAGAATCATAGGAACTGGCATTAGACAACAACAAGCTAGTGTGATCTTCTGCATTCTATATTTGATCATTTTAATTCCAAAAAGACATACTCATCATTTCAATAATAAATGACTGCTACTTTTACTAAGAATTACAATTGGATTGGAACAAACGATAGATGACAAGTTAAAAATTAAGATTCTTTGCACCTTACGTTTTTGCTTAGAGAACAGTTTCCAGAATAAAATCAGCTTTTTTTTTTTCCTTCAAGTCAAAGGCTGACCTTTTCTAAAATGGATAACCTGAGAGTCAAACATGCAGCTGTACCTCTATTTCCTGCTGGAATATGACTACACGCCCCCCCTTGTCTCCTGTGGCCAGCAGCTCCCCTGTGTGGTTAAACTCAACTGTGGATATGATGTCCGCTGCAAAAAATAAACAAACACACAAGATAGGCATTTAAATTTTTATATATGAAACATGTTCAAATTTCAAATTGGTATACAGAAACCCATCAACATCTTTTCAATACTAAAGACAGGGGACCACTTAGTTCCTGCCATCTAACTCTGGATTCGTCTTTTCCGATCGCACTAGATGGACGAGCATGTAGGCCGGAGATGAGGAAGGATGTCAGAGCACACAGGGCAAACGGAAAATGATCAGTAACCTAGTTTTTCCCCTTTTCTCCCTCTCTCCCCTCAGGCAGGATTACACATCTCCCTCAGGAGAAGATTGTTGCTTTATTATCCAAAGCTTGCTCACAAAAATATGCATACTTAGTTGACCCATTGTTGCTCAGTGGAGCAGAAGACAATGTGGAAAAAGCTGTAGATTGAGGTCTTTGTGAACGCTGTAGTCCCCGAGGCCCAACAATGGGGGTAGCACATCTGAGCTAGAGCCTCGGCTACTTCAGAGGACACAATTAAAACTGCCTGTCAGTTATGTCAGCAACAAACTAATCCTTCTATTAATTTAACAATTAAGGCTGTGAAATTAAAAAACAGAAATGCCCATTACAAATTCTATTACAAACAACACCCAACAGCAGCAGTAAAGCAACTACCTGCACTATTAAAACTCATTAGTTATTAATGGCTAATATAAGATCCTATATATATATATTATGTAAAATGTACCATTTTACACATGAGGATTACTGTGATGCAGCTGGAATGTCTTCCATTTAACTGAAAATAGACAATGTAAGACACAAAATACTAGGCTATACTACCTGAAGATTTGGATAAACATCTGATAAACACAGCCAAGAGAAACTGTATTCTTAAGCACATATAATAATTAGGCTGCTGTTAACTACTGTTCATCTTGCAGTCATTGAGACGGGGGGGGGTCAGTGTCTGATAAGCTTTCACACTGTGCAGTGTCTGATAAGCTTTCACTCTCACTGCATAGCTCACTCTCCATCACCAGCCACTTTCCCATCTGTGCTTATAAACTATCAATTTTTGGCAGTGCTCATACCTTCAGCTACATCATCATCGATTGCTCCTTTCACCTGAGAGAAGCACCACTGCATGTCACCTCCAGGTCCTGCACAGATAAAAAAAATAAATTAAATAAATTAAAAAAAAGTAAAATTCTGACAAGTTACAAGTTAAATATACTTCAATTTCAAGCTTTCTAGTCTCAGTTCTTAAGCGAAGATGACCAGGTGTCAAACTTTTGGATGATAATAATTGCGTTTACATGGACATGAGTATTCCAGTTATGATCGGGTTTTTGAAGTATTAATTTTTTTAGTTTGTGCATGTAAACATCATAACCCAATTTTAGAAAGCCAGATAAGCTCTTGTCCCAGTTTTGAAAACCCAAAAATACAAGGTGGAGTACTCCGAAAGAAACCAGGATACTGTTGCATGTATACGTTTTATCCAGATTTATTATTGTTCCAGTCCATCTGTGCAGGCATGGCTGGAGCATCCATGTGACTGAAAATAAAGACAAGCAATGTCAGCAGCAACAGCATTTAACTTTAAGAGCAATGAGGAGACAGAGTTTTGTCTTTTGGTAATGAAAAGAGAAAGCATAGAAATGCCGACTTCTTCAAATCTGTGTGGAGAAGTTATGGGAAACTGGCTTCCCGACACCTAGCCTAACAGTGGAACGGTGGAAAATCCTGAATTAAAATTACTATGTGGTCAAACATCAAAACAAAACAAGTGGGGCTAGTCCAGTTACTTTCAAATTCCTCAAAATATTGGATGACATGCTTGTCACTGTTCACATTCCAATGCAGAGGATGGAGGAGCTGGCATCAGGTTTCCCTGTCCAATGGATATTGAGCCTCTAACCAGTGAACTCCAGGTAGCATTAAGTTGTTTAAAGATTATTAACATTAGTGTGTATATATATCCTCAGTTTTGTTCATTAAGAAACAAATGGCTACAGTTAGGCTACCAAACACTTTTCTAATTATAATATAGGCTATTTATATTAGAGCTGCACCGATCGTTTGGCGGAGACGGGAAATGGGGGTGAGCGAGTGAGTGCCTCTGGAATAACTGGAGTGGTATGTCAAAACATACTGACAGAGTGTTTGGGTATTGTTTGCACATACACACAAGCATCTCCTAAAGATTTAGTTTTAGTGTACTTTCGCTCTCTGGCATAGTTGAAATATTGCTGGAACTACAGACAGACCGGATACAAAAAATTGTATGATCATATATGTGCCATAACTTCTGTAAGGCTAGCCTCCAAACAAAAATGAAACTGGTCTCATAAAAAGGTCTTTCATCTCTCCCTAAGCTAACAAAGAATTAGCTTCTATACAAGTTACCTACAAAACCACTTGTGTTATGGTACATTAAGTAGCCAACATTAGTTTACAATGTTGTGAAATACAGGCTACTTTAAATTGATTTTGAATACTCTGAGTGTAGCCTATAAATGCATCCATCAAATCATTATCTGTGGAGCCATTTAAATTTCTCTAATTTCTGATGCTTTATATCAGGGCAACTGTTAGGCCAGCAGGAGATGCTCTTACACCCAGGCTCCACTGTTAAGCACCAACAAGAACCAATATTCTGCCTTGTTTGATAATAATTTCCATCACTGGCCTCAACAGGTTCTCTATTGCTCTGTGAAGCTGTTCCTCTGTTATTACACAATTAAAACTGGTCTGTTTTGTCGACTGCAATGTCTACAGCTCTGAAGAATAACCAAGGACATTTATGAGTCACTAAGACAGGGTCGGTAGTGGCCAGGACAAAATGTTAGCACTTTCATAGATTGCCAGGATCCCTGGCAAAAGAAAACAGCACAAAGCAAACTGGTGTTTCGATAGGCAAAACACCTCAGCAATCAGTTTCAGTAACAGAGTATTGTGCAATGCCCCGGTGTTAATTTCCCCGCCCAATCGCATTTATTTCTAACAATTCTACATTCACTGTACAAGTATCAGCTGAATGAATAAATGTGAAACGCTACGTTAGTCTAGACAAATCCTTGTCTATCATGGCTTTAAGTGAGGGTGAAAATATTCTACTGAAGCACATTCATAGACCAGCTCTGACTCTTCAGTGCTTTAAGTGAGAAATTGCTCATAATATTAAGCGTTAACAGCTTGTTCAGCCTGCAGTAGGCCCAGGGTGCTAGCCTGCATGTGAGCAATGTCAAAGTTTGAGCTAACGTCAGCTAGCTTTACAAGCCAGTCAAAGCATGTTGGACAAATATGTGCAGTGGAATGGAAACTGATCATTTTGCACCTAGCAGTTTTTATTTTTCAATCTTGCTATCAGACCAAATAGTTTAAATAAAAACCGTGCACAAGTCTGCGAATCAGCCGTTAGAGCTATGATAACTTAACGTTAGCATGTTAACTGAACGTTCTATATGCTACGGATAGCTATATTTGACTAACATGGTATGCAGAGCTAGCTAACGAGACTGGCCCCGGAATAGTGGCAATGGTAAACAGCTATCCTTCGCTAGCAGCAGCTGGCTAGCCAGCTTTAGCCGGCAAGACAGGCCAGATGACCGATGACACTCGAGTCTGCTTGCAAGCTAACGTTAGCACCAACGCTAGCTAAGTTTTGTTAGCTTGTTACTGTTAGCTAACCTGACACTCGGCTCTGTCAGTGAAATCTTGCTACCGTCGGGGCAGAGAGCTTGTTGGGACAGGGTCGCCTTGTAAAATCACCGCCCTGTGCGTACTGATTATGTGTAATGATTAAATTACCTGCCATGACGAGACAGACAGTGGCGCTTGCCTCAGTCAGTCACGATCCTGCTTCCCACTCCCACGCGCTGACTCGTGGGATCTGAACTTTTCCTTCCGCTAAATCTCTGCTGTCTGTGTGCGCAAATCTTGATATCCGGTGCTAAATTTACAGTACCACCAGTTAATGCAATACTCTTCTCGATTACTTTCCTGCTCCTCCCTCTCTGTTATGTTGCTCTGTATATGAATCACTCTCCCCTTCTGTTTCTCTTGCTGCCGGCTACTTCGCATCCCACAAGTCACTTCTTCCCCACCCCTCTACGATCTCGTTTCGCACGTGACCCAGAGGGTTTTTATAATGCGTGCGTACAGAATGGCAAGAGCCTCAGGTACGCGCGTGACCATTGATGGCAACTATGGATAGAGTATTAGCATCCTCTTAGCTTACTGTTACTTGATACAAACTTTACAGAAGTATTCACATTTCTGATGTTTAGAAGAAAAAGCACAGTGTAGTTCTTCTGACAAACTGACACTGTAGCAACCAACCTTATCCAATTCTTAGACCTTAAGTTGTGCTCATATTATTTTTATATGAAAGCTTTCTCACATTGTATGTGTATATTAAGTCTAAGCTGACTACACATACCTTTTCCACAAATACACACATAAATTACCTGTATAGACAACAGGCTATAGATACTTGTCTATACATTTATTCATTACAATGTAAGAAACCATGAAAGATTGCATTCCTTGTAAAGTCCACAAGGAAAGTTGTTGAATGCTTCTCAGTTCCTTATTGTATTTGCTTCATGCTTTTCAAGGTGGGATCCAGCTTAATATTTTGCAACTTGGCAACACTGGCTGTGTTGTAAGACTATGTTTAAGACAGTCTCTGACTTTAAGTTAATGACATGATAGAAGCCTAGAGAAACAGGAGAAGTATGTATGCTAAGAGAATTATTTGGGCTGAGTTGAATCTCATTGCAAGGACACTGTCAGTACTCTCTTGAATAGGGAACAAAAATCTTACAATATCATATCACCATATTTATTAATAGCACTATTAAAATAAGTCTATTTACATTCTGACTATACACAACCCAGAATTTCAGAAAGAAATAGCTCTTTTCAGTAAGTCATACATACTGTAAAGGAGCCACTGTTTGCTGGTGGACTCTGGAGAGGAATGAAGTTGGATGCCTTCAGATGTGTAAGTCATAGTTTCACCATCGACACAGACATTTCAGATCCTTTATCTTTCTCAGAGGAAGTATGCCCACTGAAGTAGAAAAATTTTGCATAGCTTGCTAAGGAACGCATGAACACGAAGAATACCATCAAATGGCAATCCTATATCTAAAGAAGCTGAGAAGAATATTTCTCTAGCAGAAGCTTGTTCAGCTGGAGTAGAGCTATCAAAACTGCCAACTGCAGTATCTTGTTAGGCTCAATGGAGCTGTCGGTTCACTCCCAGGGAACAGCTTTCTGACACGCTTCACCTGTCAGTGATTTCAGACCTTGTAATTGATGTTTCCAAAGACAAGGTCCCTCTCAATCTTCCCTCAACAACCAGTAGCAGTGCACCCCTCAGTTGAACTGCTCCTCATGACAGAGACAGACAGCACTGAAAACTCTCAGCAACAAAAACAGATAAGGACAGGACTTTTGATACTTTAACACTTACTATTACAAGAAAAATTCAGCATTTTATTTGGGTACTATTTTTAAAGTGTGGAATCGTTACTTTTATTTAAGTACATGAGTGGAATATGTCTTCCACCATTGGTATTTGGTCATAAAACAAGGTAGTGAACAAGTTTGAAAAAACTGACCTGAATATGGAAAACCTTTCTTACCAGAGTTATTACAGGTCATCCAGAGGACAATAATATGTGTGTACTAAATTTCATGGCAATCTAGCCAATGGAAACATTGCTCTCAAAACCACCAATGTGAACATGATGGTGGAGCTAGTTACATGAACACCAGGCAGCGTGCATCATGGTGTGAAAGAGCAAGGCTCAAAAACAAGTCTTTCTTGATGGGATGTTTCCACCAAGGACTGGACGCTGACAGGCAATGTGTGGATTAATTAAAGGTCCTCATTTTCCACAAATCTGTCATTAACAGTTTGTTCCTACTGGGGGTAAAACATTTTGCTGCCTTGATGCGGCATGTTATTACCACACATCATAATTAGATTTTGTCAACAAAAAGATTATAGCACTACCTTTCTTCTAACATTACCTCTCAGTCAACTACATTATACTCAGTGGTGAAAGAAATATTAATTAAAAGCAGCAAAAGCACAGTGTAAAAATACTCTGTTACAAATAAAAGGTCTACATTAAAAAAGTTACTTCATTAAAAGTACAAAAGTATTTGCATCACAATATACTTAAAGTATCAAAAGTAAAAGTACATTATGCAGATTAGCACATTTCACATTGATATATATTATGCAATTACAATTACTGAGGCATTACTCATTTGAAGTACCGATGGGTATCTTGTGAATTTCCTACCAAGTATCAATAAAGTCTTATAACTATACTTTATTTTATTTTGTCAATTGGATTCTGAAAAGTAACTAGAAACTAAAGTTATCAAATAGAGTAAAAAGTACAATATTTGCCTCTAAAATATAATAAAGTCAAAGTATGAAGTAGCAGAAAATGAAAATACTTAAGTAAAGTACAGATACCGCAAAACTGTATTTAAGTACAGCGCTTGAGTAAATGCTGTTTTGATTTTTTTTTTCTTAGGCTATACAGTAATGTATCAGCAACTTTACTGGTGGAAATCTTGGGAATTATCCACCCAGGATCAACAATCTCTTACGATTATACTGTATTTTGTTTTGTCAATTTGATTCTGAAACGGAACTAGTAACCAAATTTCTTTCTTTCTTAATGTAATGGAGTAAAAGTACAATATTTATTTCTGAAATGTTAAGGTGGAGTATAAAGTAGCAGAAATGGAACTATTCAAAATATAAATACATCAAGACTGTAGTTAAGTACAGCAACTGAGTAAATGTACTCGTTACTTTCTACCTCTGTATTTGTATTTGTCTAATAAGTAAGCCAGTGTGGTAAGAATGAATAAAACCACCCTGCTTTTTGGCCTTTGTCCACTAGATGGGGACCAAGATCTAAAAACCGCAGGTTACCTCACAGTAAAGGTTAATGGTAGGGCTCAGTCATTTCTCTATATCCCATATCCTAGATGTTAATAATATACGGTTATGGTTGCAAAACAACTGTTGAATTTGTGTTGATATAATGCATTGTGGCTGGTGATGGCAATATCTGTTGCAAAAAGCCTGTACGCTTTTTTTTAATGCAGGTGTAGCCATTGCTACTAACACAGGTACCATGAATGTCGTGCTCAGTTTTCATCGGCTTTATGGTACCAGGACCAGGCAGGGCGGTGATGTTCAAGATGCACATTGTGTTGGGCGCCGGAAGTGCAGACCTGGCTTGGATTAAAGTGATCATCCCTGTAAAGTAAACGACGCCTATTCACATTTTTATTGCTACATCAACGAGAACACCAAAGACTAACAGAGCCAAAATGCACACAGCATGTTTAACAAAATCGTTAAAACATGAAATTGCAGAGAAAAAGGTAGGCCTACACAAATGTAGGCTTTATAGTGGTTAAAAAATAGACATATAGACCTATGTGCATGTGCGGGACTGTGTGCCCACCGCCCCCTGGCAGCGGACCGGCCAGGGGTGTGTCATAACGGGGAGTGTCCCGGGCCATAAGCATAAACGGCGGCACCCAGCTCCACTGTGCCCCCGACTCGACGCCTCTCTGCTCCCGCTGCAAATAGAATCTCTCATCGCGGCTCAGTCAGGTCCAAACCCGTGCGCTCGTCTGTCCCCGATCACAGCCCACGCTTTAAAAATAAGGTACGTCAACAACGCACTTTCCTCAACTAGACAATAGGCTGCTGTCTGTGGCCCAAATGGGGGTTTGATTTCTTTAATCAGCGCTACACTGGAATGAACCTTTCCGTGCACATTTGACACGTCTGCTGTGCCTGGGGTGAAAGAGCATGTATTCTATAGAGAGAAATGCTTGACGTCTATGTTCATACGAAATTAGTTGACTCCACACGGGTTGTGTTTTTGTCTGGTTCATTCAGACAAGTAAACCCAGATTTTTATTACCCAAAGTACAAGGCAACTGCTGCCTTATATGGTCATGCAGTGTAAACGGATGACTAGAAAATAGTCTCGTTCCACTTTAAGTGCCCACAGGCTTGATCACGTTCTTCCTTAAAAATTACTTAATGCCATGATGTGATAGGCAACCAAAAGCACAATTTAACATGCAGTGTTCTGCTGCAGTGTAGTTTTAAAAGTTTAGCCATTTGTGTGAGCATCTCATTTAAAAACTGCAAAGCAGCTGTATGTTTGTTCAGAGACAGAACCAAACAGTGAGACTGCTCATTTAGGAAGTCAGTCACAACATCCTGTATATGGTGGTTGGTATAAAGACAACAAAGGTGCGTGTGTGTCAGCGTGGTGCATGGGACATTGGATGAGTGTGTGAGGAGGAGGCATATACACAGATTCGTTAGCCAATCAGGAAGTGGTAAGTCACAGTCACACTCAGCGGTGAGACAGCTGGAAATTATGGGATGCCTGAATCCGCCCACCTCACTGCATCCCACTTCAGATTTAGATAGGAGCCTCAAACAACAGTGTGCATGCTCTGGACAGCTGAATATATTCTTTACATCTTCATCTTGGATACATTTCTGTGGTCATATTAAATTCTATGTCTATCTGTCTCTCAAACTACCTTGTCCAGGCTCCAGATAATGTGGAAAACCATAGACACGGCATCTTTAATGTCACCAAAAACCTTCCTGCTTGTCAGCTAGTGGAGTCAGAAGTCCAACTTTGGGAGGCTGTCCTTACATGAAAAAAAAAATGACAGCTTGTGTTTTGTTGTTTAAACATTACATTATGTAGTTACACAGTCATGCAGTGACTGTTCTCCTCGTCCTCTTTGAGTAGCCAAAGTGTAGGTGGCAGGGCGTTGTTATACTGCTGTAAAGTGTGGTAGGGAGGAGGTTGGATGGTTTTGAATACAGACTCAGTAAACACTGATTTCAATCCAATTAAATTCAATTTTATTTGTGTAGCACCAAATCACAACAAAGTCAAACTGAGACTGGGAGCTGGTTCCATAGGAGAGGAGCTTGATAGCTAAAGGCTCTGCCTCCCATTCTGCTTCTGTGGACTCTAGGAACCACAAGTAAACCTGCACTCTGAGAGCGAAGTGCTCTGTTAGGATGATAAGGCTCTACGAGGTCTTTAAGATACGATGGAGCCTTGTCATTAAGGGCTTTGTGTGTTAGGAGAAGGATTTTACAGGGAGCCAGTGGAGAGAAGCTAATATGGGAGAGATATGATCTCTCTTGCTAGTTCCTGTCAGTACTCTGGCTGCAGCATTTTGGATTAACTGGAGGCTTTTTATGGAATTATTGGGACATCCTGATAGTAAAGAGTTACAGTAGTCCAGCCTGGAAGTAACAAATGCATGGACCCGTTTTTCAGCATCACATTGAGACAGGATGTTGCTGATTTGGTGATTTGCAGGTCAGAAGGTGTCTAGGTCAACTATAATTAAGCAATTAAACAACTGCATTTCAGTGAACAGGTCATAACTATGCAATCAAAATGTTGTTCAGCAACAGTTATGCAGAAATAAGAAGACCTTTAAGATTTAACTCAAGCTAGCTAGATTCCAATCAAAATCATTAAATGTCTAGTGGCCAGAAATTCACCAATTTAAAGTTTTAGTTGCCTAAAATTGGCCAAAACCTTAACCATAGAGCTGGAAGACCAGAAAATGCTCATTTGAGTCATTTTTGGAACCATATGGGCTGATGTTGGGTGTGGCAGCGTGAGTCAAGGTGAAATTTGAAAATTGGAAAATGGGGTGAAGCCGAGACTGAATGAGTGACAGGCTGAGATACAGGTAAACCCAGGAAACACCCTGAAACATATTCCCCTTAAAGCTTCGACATCTTCTGCAAGAGATAGCAACTTTCAAAATCTCTACCAAACTACACATTCGACAACAGTGAAGTTAGCAAGACTTTGCATTGTTGTTTTGACTGTTTTACAATGAGTAAACAGGCAAAAGGGAAGCAGATCAGCTATTAAAGACTGCAGAGCCAGTGCAGTGTTATCTGACGTGTCCTATGGGGGGTGGGGTGGGGGTGGCTTTCTGAACAGTCCTCAAGAGGCTGATGAGAGTGGCATGCATGGAGAAAATGAGTCATCAAGAGCCCCCCCTTCCTGTACAAGAAAGACATGACTTGAAGGAGCGATCTCTCCTTTTGGAGAAACCAATCGCTGTTGGAGCCCAGAAATCCAGCTTCCACAACTAAAACTATTTGTTCTTGTCTTTGAAGTGATACATCGGCAGACATCATCACAAGGTCTTAAAAATATTTTTGTCACATGAATCCGCGTTTGCTAAATGCACAGTGTTGAGTTCTCACTCAGGCCTCAAGCAAAGCTGGCACAAAAGAGAGGCTGGTGACAAATGGAGCAGGGGGTTAAAGAATGACAGGCTCTCTCCATGTCTGTTTGGAGGCGAGGCCGGGACAAAGAGCACAGGGATGAGGGGGGGAAGGGACTCTGGCTGTGCAGTGCAATGGGGAGGCCTGTAGACACCATCTGTGTTTCCCCGCAGGCCGTGGTAACCGCGAGTCATGTGACTTGTTCTATTTAAGCTTGTAGCTGTGTGTGTGTGTGTGTGTGCTGAGTCAAACAAACTACCCCTCTGTGAGTCACTTTAGCCAACCTGGAGCAGCTAGAAACATTAATGGTTTGTTCTAGTCAGCTGCTGCTCTTCAACTAAACTTTGCACAGAAATATTCATACTTGTAAAAAATCTCAGACTTATTGTGTCTTAAACTACATTCACAAACCTTTTCCCTCATTGTTTTGGATTTTTTTAATCTAGATTTTAGATTTTATCATATTTTCTCAGTACTGGCTTTGATTTTTCAAAGTGAGGGGATTCAGATGCTGTGTATCCCCTCTGATGTTTGCTGTACTACCACGTCACAGAGAATATCTAGTTCTGTTGTGAACCAGTTTTGATGTGCGGCGGCAGGCATTTCTGCTGCACAACATTTTCCTACATCAGAGCGGAAGATCGCAGTCAAAGGCAGTCGTTTTTATTTAGTGCCACAGACACTTAGATCTTCAGAATACTGAGTTGCATAAAAGTGTTTTTTTCTGGGAGAGTCAAGGTATGGAGTTGTTAGAAATAAAGCTACATACACGGTGCGTTTTTGAGCATTTATCATGGGGATTGAATGGGGTTTGTTATGAAATTCACACCACGTAGAAACAAAGGTATAAATCTTTACTTCAAGTGGTTGAGAAATGAAAACTGCAGACTTCCTGTTGATCTCTGCACTGACATACTGTGTTTGGTCATGATCACAGTTGTAGGTATTAATATGCTCTGTGTTTCTTTTAGGGATTTGGTTTCATATGTACATTCTATATAGTATATGCTGTACATCGGTTCCTCCCTTATTGAGGATCCTCCTACTCAGCTCAGATCTCTGCCTGCAAGCTGTTTGGGTGTGTCAAAGGAAGTTAATGAATAGCTGTAGATTATCAAGGAGAAGTTACAGATTTATTACCAGCTGCTTGGGAGCACAAGGTTTTTATATTCTTTCAAAACGGTTAAAGATTATTCCCTAGATGTTTAGGAAGTAGATACCTCACTTGGATGCTTTGTAGCCTTTTAAATATTTGTGGTATACTTAAAGATGTTTGGTCACCATATTTGATCAGTTTGTACCAGAATATGATTGCTTAGTGTTTTCTGATGAAAAACAACCCCCCCATTAGCAATTGGATTCAATTGCTAATGCTTAAAAGTTTCAGACCTGGTTTCTGACCTTAGCTGCATTCAAGCTTCTCAGGCCAATGTAGAGCCAGTGGAGGAAATTTCAGCATTCCACATCCTTGCTCCAGCTACATGTAATGACCATAGTGGAGTTACCCAGCAGCCCTAGTTGTCCTTTCTCCAGCCAAACTTGGATGCAGGCACTGCAATGGAAGTTCAGATGGTGCACCACCCTGTATGACTCCAAGGGCACCCAGTTGATTTGGCTGCATTTTTTCTGTATTGACTGTGTTTAGTCCGTACTGTCAATTTGCATTTGAAGTCTAAATGAGCTATAAATGGGTGAGATATAGTCTGACCCAGATATCTATCCAAATTTTTGGTATTTAAGAAATCTTCCCACCAGCCACTGCTATGTGACAACATATGTCCCCTTCAAAAATCAGGAATGTTGGCTGTGAAACAGTTGTCAAAATGTTCCGCTCTCTTTTCCCTGTGGGAATATTACAGCTACAGTATAATGTGCACTGAATCTGGCTGTTAAACAAGAGGAGAGCAGAAATGAGGGAAAAGGAAGCTGGCATTTGTTGGCCTGGTTAAGTGAACCCTGAGCCACATTTCTCATCCAGGGTCAGATTCCTGCCATGTTTGTGGGCAGATGTCCTCCTAGAAAAATGGCAGATTCTTAAACGTTAGTCACACACACAGCAGGTCCAAGCAGCATTCCTGTGGAAAGCTGGGTTCTGTGTTCATTGTGAACTACATGACCTGCAGTTTATACTTTCATGTCTAATAATCGAACCTGAGCTCTATTACCAGCTCTTTACAGATAAGAACGTTGATGGTATGAATGTCTTATAAGCACATCACAACTCAAATCTGTTGGTAAATGAAAGAAGAAATGCACCATATGAGGTCACAGAGGCCCCTGTCAGAGAGGCCAGGTTTTAATTTGAGAACACTGCTTCCCTTTGGAGAAATTGTTTACACTCTGTGCAGTGTGTCCTGTGCCAGTCAGCATTTACAGTGGACCCAGTGTGCGTTTGTCTGATGCAAAAACTCACAGGACATTTGTGACCACATTTACGTATTTTTTTCTGTTGGACTGTGTAATGTAACATTTCAAACATTTGAATCTAACCATAGCTACCAGAGGTCAAAGATGCACTCAGATAAATCGTGTGTGCACAATCTTAACCTGAAACTACACCTGTTAGAGAGATTCAACATTTCAGACATTTTACATCAGTACTATACATAAATATACTTAGTTCTTTGTTACACCTAAACTTTTCATTTATAGAAGTTGAGCACAGACGTCTTGTGCAGCATAAGAATACTACATCCTCATGTTTATGAAGGCAAGACTCCGAATAATCTGCCCTACAAAATCCTCTGTATAAAATGTCCTTATTCCCTCACTGTTAACTTGTAAACTGTTCTATAACCAGCTTCCAAATGACCATAACAAAGATTTTAACATGATGCTCAGGGGCCATCTTAAAATTCTTCAACATCCATGCATTGGGAAATGCCAGTGGGCTATAATCCAATGCGGCACAGACACCCACTTGAGAGTCTTGACTGGGCGCCATGTGTCTTTTATACTGTCAGCTATGGCTGAAGTGTATGGTATGTATGAATGTCTGGGTGTGTGTTTGTGAATTTGCTTGCCCTTGCACTGTGTCTTACAGCACGGGGCAATACGATGCCATGTACTGTGAGATGAAATTTGTAGACTGGAAGAGGTTTTCCTATATTGCTTTTGTGTTAGGCTTCAATTGATCTCCTTAAAAGGGCACTCCGCTGATGGACTGAAGCACAAAAACAGAGCTACAAAGCAGTCTTCTGCTTTATATAATGATACACAATGTTTAGTCATCATCACTGGCAGTTATGCATCTGCCTTAGTAAAAACTTCCTGGATTTGTGCTTCCTGCTTACTGGTGGAAACACCCTGAGCACCGGGCACCAGTGACTCACCCTGCTGCGCATTTATATCTAACTATAAACCTAAACTTTATCTTTGTATCCATGGCAACAACTCAGCCAGGAGGTGGCTTCAGCTTTTCCAGTGCAAATGTCTTACAAATAAAGTCCCAGTCTTATGCTTAAAGGGTTGGGACAAAGATTTATGACTGATCTGTGCAGAACGTAACCACCAACTTGTAAAACCACAGCACGTTGCCATGGAAACATACCTGTATGTTTGAGTGTGTGGAGTACAAAAAAAAAAAGTCTCATTCTCTGCAGACAGGATGGCACCGCACCACCCAGAGTTTGAACGGGCTGGACAGAAACCAGGCCTTCAGGTGTGGCGGGTGGAGAACTTTGACCTGGTGCCCGTTCCAGAGAACCTATATGGGGGATTTTACACAGGAGACACCTACCTCATCCTCAACACCATCAAACAACGCTCCGGGAACCTGCAGTATGACCTCCACTTCTGGTTGGGTGAGTGCAGTGAGGCCAGAGTTATTCCAGTGGGATCACAGTGAACTTAGCAGCAGAAAAGAACCTAAGAGAGAACAGTGTGTATGAGGAAGTCCAGATCTCAATATTTCAGAAAGTGTATGAGGAAGTCCAGATCTCAATATTTCAGAAAGTGTATGAGGAAGTCCAGATCTCAATATTTCAGAAACAGTTTAAGACAAAAAAAAAACATCTTCATCCATCTTAAAAACTATAAAGCATCTTTCAGTGCATTTCTAGCCACTGCGAGTTCATAGGCAACACTGTGTTAACTAACAAAAAGGGCCTTCACACTCTGAAAAATCCTCAAATATGTTTTATTCTTAGCTTAAAAATCACACGGCTGAGAAAAACAGACATTGTAGTGAGCTAACACCAAAGGTCAGGTCTTTCTACCCACCCCAGGCAACTGCTAACACTAATTAGTGCTGCTTCATGAAGTTTTTTAAGCCTGACGATGACTTCACATGGGCAGCAGCCAAATGCAAATTCAATACTTGGAATTAAAGCTGAAAGTCTACACTTCAGTAAAACCTTACCTGCCTCAGTTCAAATCCACTGTGGTGGTGTACAGAGGCAAAATTCCAAAAATTGTGTCCTTGTCCAAATACTTGTGCACCTGACTGTATCTGACTGCGTCATCATAGCTTAAAGCAAACAGAAAGGTCAGAACGTGAGTCAGGTCTTTTTTTGTTTATTGATTACATGTGTTTTTAGTCTACTTGATTGATCATGGAAACAGTGTTTGCCAATAAACATGATCTGATGTAACTACACTGTGTGACAGAAATAGAATAATGTTGCGTGTATTAACGTGCCTGCTGGGGTCTGACCCCTGCTGCTCCCGCATATTGATCTCCTGACTCAGTCGTCAGTGAGAGAATTCATCAGACAAAAAATGTGGCTCTCTGGGTTGGTTAAAGACTAGGATTAATATGGAGCACCTGTGCGGTTTGTCTGGTGCAGGTGATTTCTGCACCCAGGATGAGAGCGCCTCAGCGGCCATCTTTACTGTCCAGATGGATGACTTCCTGGGAGGAAAACCCATCCAGTACCGTGAGGTCCAGGGACATGAGTCCAAAACCTTTCTGGGCTATTTCAAGTCTGGAATCAAATACATGGTAAGATGTTATGTTTGTAGCCAGAAAAACAGCTATTGGCCAGAAATATGGGACTTTTTATAACATTTTCACTTTTGTTTCAAACCTGGGATTATGCATAGTCAATTTTATATGTGGTTTCTGCATGTTTATGGACATGTTAAGGTTATATTTCAACATATTTCAAAAGAAAAACAACATTGTTTATTCAGAATGAGTAAAAATGTTTGATGACATAATTCTGTCAAGCATTCCAATTTCCAAATAGCCATTGAACCATTTTCTTGTTTTTTTTTTTATACTGAAGAATCATTACAAGCATTAAAAGTAAAACCTGAATTTTGTTATTAAATGTAAAATAGAAAATGTATTTTGTTACATAATCATTTTGTCAGTTGTATAAATTTGCCACTATCCACATCAAAACATAGGGCATCTATGGTTTTTCATTTTTCTTTTTGTTTAGATGAGATAAAATTTTGTTTTTGTTTTTTAAGGAAAAAGCCAAGTATTTTATTTTGAAATGCAAATTGTATCTTCCAGACAGGTGGCGTAGCATCTGGGTTCAAACATGTTGTCACCAATGAGGTGACTGTGCAGCGGGTGCTCCAGGTCAAAGGGCGTCGTGTTGTCCGGGCAACAGAGGTGCCCGTCAGCTGGGAGAGCTTCAACCAGGGAGACTGCTTCATCCTGGACCTGGGAGATGTGAGTGACACTGAGCAGATTATTATTACATAATCACAATATTATATGGCTCTCACAGTTTTTCAGTAGTGGTGAACAACTTGCAGTACATGGCCAAAACTACAAATGTTGCATCTGTTTTCCAAGAGAAAGCAATAAAAAAAGACAAGTGCCTTTGATATTTTTGTAAAACACAAAATGCTATAAATTCCACTTTCAGTAAAGATTCTATTGGCCTGCTTTGCAATCTGCTCCATTTCTTGTTGTACAGGAGATCTTCCAGTGGTGCGGCTCCCAGAGCAACCGCTTTGAGAAGCTGAAGGCAACGCAGGTCTCCAAGGGTATCCGTGACAACGAGCGCAGCGGGAGGGCCCGAGTTTATGTCTGTGACGAGGGGATGGAGAGAGAGAAGATGTTAGAGGTGAGATCAGTGCATTATGAGAACAAATCAAGTCTGCAACCGAGCGTTTTCGAGATGTTTGTGTTAAAATGACTGTTTCTGTCCTCAGGTTTTGGGTCCTAAACCAGATCTGCCTGTAGGAGCCTCGGATGACATCAAAGCTGATGCTTCAAACAGGATGAGGGCCAAACTCTACAAGGTGAGTGAAGTGCAAACATCACACACACATCTTCTCCTCTTTAACAATAACAATCTCCTTTACAAAAATCTGAATACTTTCAGTGGCAGTTTGTAAATAAATACATAAATAAAAATAAAATGATGAGTTTTATGCCTGAGTTTCAGAGTCAGAACATTGTAGTTTCTCATGACAGACATGTTAATCACAGTTAACTGATCATGTCCAGGTGACCAGTAATGTTATGGCTGCTGACGGGTTAAAAAGCCCAGGAGGAGGCAGTGCAACAAGCTTTCACTCTCAACACTTGAACTGTTTTCACAGAAATTATCCTTCAAGCTTCTAATCAAACTCTCTCTGCCTTTCCAGGTGTCCAACGCCAGTGGAGGAATGGCCATCGCACTGGTGGCAGCAGAAAACCCATTTGCCCAGAGCGCCCTGGAGTCTGGCGACTGCTTCATTCTAGACCACGGCTCTGATGGCAAGATCTTCGTCTGGAAAGGTCAGTGCAGGCTGCCGCTGTGGATTCGGCTGTTTGTTTAGGAGAAAACCAACACCACTGCACTGTTGAATGGATATTTTGCGCCATTATTCTGAGCAGTCATGCTGAGCCCACATTCAGCTCACAGCCAGGACAGGAAAAACCTGTAATTTGGCCTTTTTGATCTAGGAAATGGTTCTAATATTTTCTGTTAACTAAATACTTATTACAATCTGTTTTTCTACAGGCAAAGATGCCAACATGGACGAACGAAAGGCAGCCTTGAAGGCAGCAGATGAGTTTATAAAGAAGATGGGTTACCCCAAACACACGCAGGTCCAGATACTGCCAGAGATGGGCGAGACTCCGCTGTTCAAGCAGTTCTTTAAAAACTGGCGGGACAAAGATCAGACAGAGGGCTTGGGCGTGGCCTACATCTCTAACAGCATCGCCAGGATCGAGAAGGTGGCCTTCGACGCTGCCAGCCTGCATGACTCCCCGGCCATGGCTGCCCAGCATGGCATGGTGGATGACGGCAGCGGAGACAAACAGGTGAGAGAAGGGAAGCTCTCAGGTCGTTGGTGTGGTTATGTCTCAGAGATTTTAAGACTGGGGCTATCAGTAACCGAACAGCTCCCTCTTGTGGAAACTCGTCTGTGAAAGAGCTTGTGAATTTCTGAGTAACTTACCAGACATCATGAGCTTTTGTATCTTTACAATATTATATTGGGTCATTTATGTTATGCAATGAAACATTTATGTAATTTGTTGTAGATGTGATAAAACATTAAATGCAATCATTCTTTGTTGTTTTCTTGACAGATCTGGCGTATCGAGGGTTCTGACAAGGTCCTGGTGGATCCTTCCACATATGGACAGTTCTATGGAGGAGACAGCTACATCATTCTGTACAACTACCGCCACGGAGGACGTCAGGGACACATCATCTACATGTGGTGAGAAAACCAGAGACTGACAGTTTGCCATCAGTTGAAGTTGCATTAGATGAAATGTTGTAAAAATATTTTCCCACCTGAATCACAAACTCAGGGTGCTGTCAAAGTAGAGGAGTAAAAACCAAACTAGAAATACGTTTTCAATATTTCATAGTGACAAAGTATATAACAGAGATTTCTGATGGTTTCCCAGGCAGGGCTTGGACTCCAGTCAGGATGAAATTGGGGCCTCAGCGATCCTCGGTGCCCAGCTGGATGAAGAGCTCGGCGGTGGCCCCATACAGGTAGAACACATTATTCCTTTAGGGTGTTCATCAGCTTTTTCATTGCATAATATTATTTGCTCATTCATAAGAAAATGCCTCTGCCTTCCCCTGGCTTACTCAGCATAGTCATCTCCTGTCTGACCTTTACAACCTTTCACTCTTTCACCTCTAACCTCCTGGTATCCTGCTGCTGCTTCTTCTTCTTCCCTCCTTGGTTTCTGACCTTTTCTGTCTCTTCAGGTTGTTGGTGCTCCTATAACCACACAGGTATTTGCCCTCCCTACCCTGCTCCGCATCTCCCCCAGATGACTCATATGATGTTGTCCAGAACCAGAGACAAAAAGAAGCAAACCAATACATTTTTAATCCGTTCCAGATAATTATAAATATCTTGTTTTAAAAGTGCTTTAAATGAGCTAAATCCAATTTACGGTGAAACCATTTCAGTCATACACAAACAGGACATTCCAGTGTCAGTGTTAATGGGAGGCTGCTCCCTCCAGTGTCACCAGCTTTGTCTGCCCCACATAAATATAAAACAGCCCTTGTACCAGACTTCGCCCTGAGCTGACATTAATGCAACATTAAGTGCTGATGTTTGCTAGATGGGTGTGAGTTTGGAAATAACTGTGCAGATCATAAAACAAGGTCAGTTTCATATGAGTCTTTCTGTGTTCCACATTCGCACTTCCCTCCTCATGCATCTTCACGTTGCATGTACAGCCGTCATGTTCATGCCTTCTTGTCTGTGCTGTGGCACAACTGTCTTTGTGTTTGATTCCGTTGAGTGGGGAAACATCTGTAGAAGTTACATCTATTTTTCCAGATGTTTCCTTGCCCTCACTGTCAAAGTAGACATTCAAGGGCGCACAAACTATGTTCCGAGCGCTGCTCACTTTGCAACTCAGCATTTAAGAGCGAGCAGGCACAGATTTGTAAGTGCAGAATCAGATATGAGAGTGTAATCCCAGCCATGCTCGTGCTCTCAGATTTCTCCACTGGGTTTTGTGCGAAACTGTGTCAGCACCAAAACTTTTGAAAGCACACAAAACAACTTTTTGTGCTACTCAGTTTACAAGTCAGAATTTGAGAGCCTGTAGGCATTGTTTTTTAAGAGCAGGATCACATCTGAGAGCGAGGGAGGATCCCTGCTGCTCGCTTAAATCATCTGTTATGCTCACGATTCTTCTTTTGCTTTCCCGTTCGTTTTTGCTCTTACAAATCTGCACCTGCTCTCAAATGCTGAGTTGCAAACTGAACATCAGTTAAAATGTGGTTTGTGCATCCTTGAAAGTCTTTGCGGGGATATGCTCCCATGGTCTTGTTAATGTCACCTTCCTATTCACAGCCTCTCAAACTAATCTTGACATAAATTTACCTTGCTAACTCTGCAGACAGGTTTTTCTTCAAAACTCACTTTTCATTTAACAAATGGCTTAAATGTCATCTACTCATAAGAACTTATAACATTAGCAAAATGAGAGATTTAGAGTAATTTAGTTTAACAACTAAACTTTTATGCTGTTTACAATTGAGCAACACTGGCTGTTAGAAAATCCTTTTGCCAGTTTCACATCATGCTCAGTGTTACGAGTACTGGGAACATTTTCAGCTGTAGTTGTAGTTTGAAAGTGTACAAATGTGGACTACAACTCTTCAGTGAATATTTTTCTCCTCTCTATTTGCTCACATAAGCTCCGGATCATCATAAAGCGCAAGAACTGACTACATCACCTCACAGCCAGAAATATTTATGACAAAAGCTGTAGACCACAGAGACTTGTGACACTATTTCTGACATAAGCTGCAGTATCCTAACTTCACAGACCTTGACTCTCATCACCTGATGGCATAGACAGTAAACGTGGCTTGGCTCCATGCTGCCACCCTGTGTCTGATTTGGGGATGGCAGCAGACATTTTTCACATATTGTCAGTGCACGTTTTAAAAGATACAACAAGGGAGGATCTGTCTGCTGTGATTTAGTTGCACCACCTTGGGATAACTCATAACATCAAACTGCATGGATTGTTTTTGCTACCAAAATTACTGCCACAATCATCTATTCATCTCCAGAGTTGCTATTTGACTATTTACATACCAGGTGAGGGTGGTGCAGGGCAAAGAGCCGAGCCATCTGATGAGTCTGTTTGGAGGCCAGCCAATGGTGGTGTACAAGGGGGGTACATCCAGAGAAGGAGGTCAGTCCGCTCCTGCAGACACACGACTCTTCCAGGTGCGCGCCAACTCTACAGGGCACACCAGAGCTGTGGAGGTAAGAGAACAAACATAATAATTCACTTTCTAATCACGGCATGAACTAATTTTAAAGCTTAAGTCTGCTGATGATCTCTGTTTTTTTGGTCATATATCTTATTCCTCCACTGTTCATCAAAAAACATTTCAAAATCACATTTTATCATTACACCCCGCCTCTCGCCCGCAGCTGGCACGGATTGGCTCCAGCCCCCCGTGACCCTGTTTGGGACTAAGTGGTTTAGAAAATGGATGGATGGATTTTATCTTTACATTTATCATATTGCACCATAGATTTGTTTTTTATCTGAACATTATAAAATCCATTGCACTAAAAGTAAAACGTAGCATTTGCCAATTTGACATCTCATAGAAAAACCTATTGTATAGTCATCTTTAAGTTGTGTTTTCTGCCTGATGCAAAACAACATTACAAAAAAGTGTTAGTGAGGCTGACGTGACCAAAGAGAAAACCTCTTACAGCCTGTTTAAGAGAACAGGAAAAGTAAAATAAAAAAAAAGAGTATAACTTGGCAAAACCTGACAGCCTAAATGGTCACAGTGAAACACACACAGCGGCAGAAGTGCACGTTAATCTACAGTATCACTGTGTTTGCGCAGCTTGATGCAGTGGCATCCAACCTGAATTCCAATGATGCTTTTATTCTGGTAACCCCCGGAGACTCCTTCCTGTGGGTGGGAGTGGGTGCGAGTGACACAGAGAAGCAGGGAGCCCAGCAGCTGTGTGCCATCCTGGGTGTGTCTCCGACCTCCAAGCTGTCTGAGGGAGGAGAGACTGGTGAGGAAACACAATCAACGCAGAATATTATCGTTGCAATAACTGTCTCATGTTTTGTGCTTTTGAGTAAAAGTTGAGTATAACAGCAGTTCGGTACCCCTCTCCAAACAGGAGAGTGGCATCGATCTTCTCACCCATCTCTCAGCAGCATCCACTGTTCTAACCCCTTCTGGTATTTATCTACTTGTTCAATAACAGGAAGTGTCTGTCCCCTTCACAGATCAGTTCTGGGAGGCTCTGGGAGGAAAGGCAGAATATCGCACTTCTACCAGACTCAAGGACAAAATGGATACTCATCCACCCAGACTCTTTGCCTGCTCCAATAAGACAGGAAACTTCATCGTAAGTCTTTTGTCTCAGATTTATCTCCTGCAGCAATCATTTTATTTACCTTCACTGGAAAAATGTCCAACAGGAAAAAAGGAAAAATATGTTTGGTGTAATTTGAATGAGCCAGATCTTTAAATCAGACAGAATACAACGTACATTGTCTGTAAATGTGGCTGTTTCTGAACAATCAAAAGCCCTTTGTGCACAGCACCACTAAATCCTTGACATCCTCTTAGATTGAGGAGGTACCTGGGGAGATGACCCAAGATGACCTTGCCACTGATGATGTCATGATCCTTGACACCTGGGAGCAGGTAAAGAAACCAGAGCAATGACTGATTTAGCTGCATTGTATATGAATTCAAGAGCAGATTCACTGCTGTAAAAGGAACAAATCTGCATAAACTCCATCCTGTTCTTAGGTGTTTGTCTGGATCGGCAATGAGGCCCAAGAGGAAGAGAAGAGTGAAGCCATGACATCTGGTAAGGACATCTGGCACAAAACACCCAGGATCATATTATTATGATATGATAAAGTATCTGTGACACTCAAGCTGAAATCATTTAGGCCCGTGAAGTAATAGTAATGAAAAAGGTAAATGTCATTACAATGTTCTTTGGCATCCCAAATTGCATTCAGTGAGATAGTTTAAAGAGTCAAGGTTTTTCTTACCAATTAAACATCATTTTGCTTATTGAAAATAAAAAAAATACCTCATCATATTTAAAGAAAATACTCAATCTGTACTACAGTGCCCTGCCAAAACTGTTTACAGTGGAGGTGGGCAGCTGTTGACCTCAGCTGGGGACATTGTTGGACGGTGGAAGGAATACTTTGAGGATCTCCTCAATCCCGGCACCATGTCTGAGGCTCAGAGGTGGACTCGTCCATCACCCAAGCTGAAGTCACTGAGGTAGTCAAGAAGCTTCTCAGTGGCAAGGCACCGGGGGGTGGATGAGATCCGCCCTAAGTACCTTAAGTCTCTGGATGTTGTTGGGCTGTCTTGGTTGACACGCCTCTGCAACATCGCATGGCGGTCGGGGACAGTGCCTCTGGACTGGCAGACCGGGGTGGTGGTCCCTCTTTTTAAGAAGGGGGACCGGAGGGTGTGTTCCAACTATAGGGGGATCACACTCCTCAGCCTCCCCGGGAAAGTCTATGCCAGGGTACTGGAGAGGAGAATTC